ACATGATGGTTACGATGTCTGGGAGTTTCCGAAAATAAGGGGTACCTTATTTTGGGGTCCTTATAATAGGGATCCTACTATTTAGGGTACTATATTAGGGTCCCCTATTTTCGGAAACCCCCCATGTTGGTGGTCATCACAGCACAGCTACCTTACCTGTGTCGAAGGATCAATTGCCGACGTAGTGATGGTGATGGTGGTCCTGATGATCATGATCTTGGTGTTATTTGTGTTGCTTATCATGGGCTGCTGCTTCTTGTTGCTCCTGATGCTTGAAAACATTGTCGGGGGGCTGATGTGCCAGGCTGCGGCAGGCCGGGGAGGAGGGCCGGCGCCTGCTGGACTACAGTCAGACGCATGGCGTACTGGGTTTTGAGTTTTCTGAGTTTTGAGGTTTGTTTGTTCACTCTGTGTGGTTCCTCCGGGTCCGGGTGCCCGCGATGCGGCCCCCGAGAGGCGATGTTGAAAGGTCAGAGTCAGCCTTGTATCACCTTTTGTGTGTTCGGCCTTGGCCCTTCATCTCACTATGCTGAAAGCAGGGAGCGATGCTCCTCAGGGCTTTGTCGTCCGCGTCGTGGCTGTCGTGGTGGTTCTGGTGGTCTGATGGACCGGGTCGCCTTGGTTGTCTTGGTCGTCTTGGTCGTAGTGAGTGGTCTACATGGTGCAATGCGTGGTCTTTCGTGCTTGGAACAGTTCCCATGTACTTTGCGCAGCTCAGGCTGCTTGAGGGAATTGATTTCGAATGGATCGGAAGCAAGATCACAGGCTTTGTGCCTGCCCTGCAGTTTGAGTTGTCTTAACATGTGAAGTCCAAATCGATTACTCTACCCGCAAATTCGTCACTCCCTCAGTAAGGTGAAGACGATCAAGACTCAATCAGAAAATTTGGCCACAAGCTCAGTTGTGCAATACTGCTTCTTCACGCAGATGGGCATGTGATAATCGCTTCGACAAGTTGCAAAGGCATGTTGTATCTATCGAGGGCGATGTTCTACGACATATCGACAGTTGAGGAAGCTCTGAGCGCTGCAGGTTGACATTGATACTGTCCTGGGCCCAATGCTGTCACAGATGGACAAGACTGGCGAGGCAGGGCGGGTAGGAGCCTGCTTCAGTGTTGGGCCGACAGGGTACCTGCCAATTCTTTGCTGCGTGCCTGCACTTGCTGGGAGCCCCCTTGGCTCGGAGCGAAGCACGGAGGGACCCGGAGGGAGGGACAAAGGGGCCTGGGCCATGGCCAGGCTTCCGGAGCTGACGTTGCTGCGCGAGGTCCCATCTGGCACGTCGGTCGTGGCAGTGTCCATTCTCTTGGAGCCGTACTTGGAGGACTGGCGTCGGCGGCCCCGTATGGCCACAGCGGTTCTGAAGCGATTGGCGAAGCAAGGTCGATCTCAGCTTGCAGCAACGGTGTTGTCAGCAATGGCGGCACATGGTGTGGAGACGAATCTAATCCATTATAGTGCAGTGCTCGCAGCGTCTGCTTCTGGTGGGCAGTGGCTTTCGGCTTTGGCTTTGGCACAGCGTATAGGACGGTCAGGCATGCAGATGGATGCAGTCGGCGTGGGAACACAGATGCGGGCTTGTGCTCGAAGTAAACATTGGGACTGGCCTCTGTCTCTGCTGATGGACCTGCGCAGCTCTGCTTGTGAGTTGGATGTGGTCGTCTACAACACTTGCGTTGCCCACGGTATCTGGGAGAGCTCAGGGCTACTACTGGGAGGCATTCGACGAAGCAAGCTTGAGCCAGATCTTCTCACGTTCAATGAATTGTCGGCGTCCTCGTGGCCAGCGTCTGTCTTCACCTTGATGGGCATGGCCCAGGAGGCCCTGATGCCCGACGTGTTCTGCTACAACTCTGTCATCGCCGAAGGGGGCCTAGCCTGGCAGGGAGGCCTTTACATGGTGGACACCATGCAAACATCAGGACTTCGTCCCGATGTTGCTACTTATGACGCCTCGATAGGGGTTTGCGGTGCCCACTGGCGGACGGCCTTCGCATTGTGGAGCAGCCTTCGGACCGTGTGCCGGGCAGATGTCGTGGCACTTACTGCGGTCCTGGGCACCTGTGCGGATGTCTCGAAATGGCAGGCCTCCTTTGGGTTTTGCCAGGAACTACAGGCAGTGGACCTAATCTCCTGCAACGCGTTGGTCCATGCGTGTGCTAAGGGCAGCAGGTGGCAGGATGCCGTGTTCCTGTTCGATGTAGCACCCGGGAATCGAGTTCTACCAGATGAGGCAACACAGAGCTCTCTTCTCGCATCGCTGTCGGCCGGATCCTGTTGGGAGCTTGCATTGTCGGCCTTCCTTGAATGGTTCGGGAAGCCGTCGGACCGCACGCCTCTCGTCTGCAGCGCGCTACTGAGTGCCTTGTCTGCAGGCTGGCAGTGGTTATTTGCCTTGCAGCTCCTGCGCGTCATGGAAAAATCCAGTGTGGAAGCCAGCCGGGAGTGCCAGAACGCGGCCGTCGACGCCTGCGGGCGCGCATCGCAGTGGCAAGGAGCCGCCGCTCTCTTCGCGGGTTTTCCTGGGAACTCCATCGGCTTGAACTCGGCCATTGCTGCCACGGCCCGGGCGGCAGAGTGGCGCCAAGCCGCGGCAGTGCTTGGATCCTTCGCTTCGTCCAGAAATTTGCAGCGAGATGGGATAAGCTTTAGTTCTGCGGGCCATGCTCTCGCCAGATGCCTCCTTTGGGACCGTTCCTTGCATGCCTTAAAATTCACCAGGCAAGCGGGGGTGCTGCCGTGCCATGCGGCCTACAATTCTGCAGCTTGCTCTCTAGAGAAGAAGCACTGGTCCCGAACACTCAGCCTCCTGAGTGCTATGGGGATCCTACAAGTGGAAAGAGACGACGTGGCTTGCAGCAAGCTCTTGAGTTCATGTGCCAACACTGCTCAGTGGAAACTTTCTTTGTGCATAACGGGCCAGATGCCTCGCAATTCGCATTTCTGCACTGATGCAGTATGCACATGTGCGGTCAGATCTTTGACCAGTGCGTTGAGGTGGACGGATGCACTGGAGCTCTGGCTTTGTTCCATGTCTTCCATTCCTTCTGCAACCTTATTTTCAAGCTTCGTGCTGGACTGCATACTCCATGGCTACATGGCGTCTGGCCATGGCCATGTGCACCTAGTTCCCTTTATGCTCAGTCGGCTACAGTCCACTCCCTTCTTAAGGAGTGGCTCTCCGCTCAGGCATAAAAAGCAGGAACGATGCCGCGGAAGTGCGGCTTCGGCGTTGCTAGGTTTTGAAAGCAGCAGGTGCTTCGAAGGTCTTCAGGTTCCCCAGGTAGCAGACGACGGTTGCACGAGTCCGGCAGACGGAACTGGATCGGCAAAGCCTTGCGGGGATCAGGCTTCTCCCACAGAATGGAGGTTGTGGAGTTGGGCCAGCTTGCCTTCAGGGACTTGCGGGACTTCAGGGTGTTGGCCGCGCGACATTCGTAGTCGCGAATCGCGGATCCTGAAAGCCTCCTTCCAACTCATGCTGCTCGTACATGTAATCGAGCAAAGCCACATGCATGTTTGTCTGTCTGGCTGCCATGCATGCTTACATTCATACGTGCATGCGATGAATACATGCGTGCACGGGGCTGGCTGGCTGGATGGATGGATGTCTGTATAGACTTGGCATCAGATTATCATATCACTGTGTACATACATTTTCGTCCTGAAGTAGATCTGCACAGGTGCATTTTCAGCCAGTGGTCAGTAAACTCAACTCATTGCACATGAGTCTGAGTGATGTGTCATCGTGTGCTAGCACAAAGGTTCTGGTGCCCGTGCACGAATGAGTCGCTATCCGCGCGCACACGCCACGACACATGTATCTGTGTACAGCTGTCAGTGTGCACAAGCCTTCAGACACGTGCTTCAGAGACCCGTTTGCAAAGATGCTCTGACCTCGCCCCTGTTTCTGCCGTCCTGTGCCAGTCTGTACGACGATTGGATTTCGTGACCGAGGCTCCCTGCCACAACATTCTTGCCACCTGTCAACCAGGCTTTCAACAGTAATATGCAGGTTGTGTTCAAGGCTTGAGAAGGTTGTGGGCGGTAAGTAAAGGACCCTTGATTGATGTGGCCGACAAGTAGCAAGCAGCTAGCACTCAGGCGCCGTGGGGTGGGTGGCGGTGCGGTGGTAGTATTACTTCTGAGGATGAAGAAGGCAAAAGCATGCACGTTTGCGGCAAGTGTAGTGTTCTCCGCTGACTGACTGGCGATTGCACGACCTGAGATGTGTATTGCAGACCGCTTTGTGGCGCTTTTGCAGGCACAGAGCTCCATTTCAGGCGCTGTCGGCCTGAAGGAGCAAGCCGCTGCCTGGCTAACTGTAGATAGATGCCATGCGCGCTGTGAGACAGGATGTCTGAAAGCTTAGGAGAAAAACAGCCGGGCCATCGGCAAGATCATACCGACATGGCAAGCCGTTGAGGGCACTGCAGTCAGCATGTGCCCGTCAGTGCTGGCAACGAAGGCGTGGGCCGTTGAATCCCCTTGCTCTTCGCATGTGGCTGACTCTGAACTGTCTCAATCATCTCAATCCCTAGCCTTTGGCATCCTCAAGCCTCGGAAGACGGGAGCAAAGGGGAGAGAGCCAGGACACCATTGGCCACCTGCAGTGTCGCACGACGGAGTTCGTGAGCAAAGCCGGCCTGTCCTCCTGGGTCCCATCACAGGCCGGCACCGTGGGATGTGGCCGAACAGAACAGCCAACCTTTCTGGAGTCGAAGACAGCCCGAGGTAAGCAAACACAAAGAGAGGCCAAAACGGTGGCGTCAAAGCAACCGAAGCTGACTTGACATGCGATGCCATGCATGGCTCTGACGCCTGGGCACAAGTGCAGGGACAATCTTTTAGGGGGTATCCCTGGAGAGAGGAGAGGTCCAAACTCAGGGGCTTCGGCAGGTGACGGACATCGTGGGCAACTGTCCCGCCAAGTTGCCGACGACGGAGGAAGCAGTGGCGCAGGGCTGCCCGCCTCTCGACAGCTTCTGGCCACTTCGTGCGTCCGGCTTTGGCGGGATTCGCCTGTGCCAAGGGAGAAAGCCCAGTCCGCCAACGTCAAGGATGTACTCGGAGCCTCGCCAGGGAGTCAAGTCAGGGGCCGGGTAGGTGGCAGTGCTAAGCCAACAGCGGCCGCTTTACCGCTTTTCTCACAGTGCGTTTTCGCCGATGCAAAGCTCAACAGAGCCTGCAAGAAGCCTGACTCCAATGCCTGAAGGCCTCGGGTTTCCCTGAAGCCCCTTGGACGCCTTAGGCCCTTCGGGCCCTTCGGCCATCTCAGGGCGCTTTCCCCAAAGATCCCCCGAGCCCGAAGTCTCCACACTTTTGCAGAAGATGGCCATGTTTTAACGAGAGCCCTGGCAAAAACACACCCTCAACTCATCGCTTGCGCAAGAGCCGTCGTTTTTATCTCAGCCCGAGGTGAGCACTCTGAGACCCTCGGTTGGGCCATGGCCGTCGGCGGCGGTGTGGTGGGCCTGGGCATCTGTGGAGGAGCGGCGCTTAGCAAGGCCACTGCAGTACAGGTTGGTGTTCTCAATGACCCTTGTCTTTGCTCATTAGTTACAAGTTTGATTCCAAGACCGATTCAACATGGGCACTCGCTTGCAGGAGGGGCTGCTATAATGAAGAGCAAGGCGAGCAAGGACGAGGAGGCGCGGTCGGCTGGCTGTCGCTTGAGCCCAACGTCTCCGAGATGCTGGTTTTGACTGAGGAGTATGACTCCGAAGAAGATACGGAAGAGAATCAGACTTTGAATGGCTGAGATTCAGCCCGGAACTGTTTGTGGAGTAGTCCCGGTGCCTGGCGGTGCACAAAAGATCGGAATTGCATGTCGATGGTACTTGGTCGGGTTTTTTCTCATGCTGCCATACCCCCGATCCCGGCCAGGGCAGTCTAAACTGGCTGTGTTCAGGGCCGAGATCCTGCGTATCTGGAGTGCCCCTATGTCCAACTAACTCAAGTATGATCGTGCTCGGTCTAGATGCATTGACAATCAGTTGTGACTAGATGCACGTACTATCTGTCGCACTGGTTCCAGCAACTCGGATCGTAACAAAGCCATGGTTGCCTCCGTGAATCGGTAGAAAGTCTCAAGAGACAGCTTATGTAGGTCTCATGGTAACATGCAGCAAAGCAGCAAAGCGGAGCACAAGCCAATCCAGACATCAGCCAGCGCGAGCAGTGCCTTGTATTTCGGATGCGAGCCCATGGCCCCATGGCTGTGTGCACCGCTCTCAGTCCGGGGAGCTCTTTCTGTGGCCAACTCGAACCAGGAGTTCTTCTTACGATAGCAAGCTTTAAGCTACCACAAGATGCTAAAAGACCTTGTTCTATGGCTCAGGCACGGGCCAGGCTAGGGTGCCAGCCCAAACCCGGTGAGGCGAAGACTTGGCCCTTGAGCCCTGGAAAAGCCACAGTGCCCTGTTTGGGTGTGAACCCACCGAGAGAGTGTGCCGAACCTCCAGTCAGCAGAAACGCCATGAGGATCACAGGGAAAAGGGAGGAGCTCTAGAGACCCAAAACTAACTCGAGGGTGTCTTAAGACTAGGGGCAACTGATGTAAGCCCAGCTTGCATGTATGTCAGGTTCCGTTATTTGTCGAAATGCTTGGCCCTACAAGTCATAAAGAACCGTAATCAGTAGGCTATAAGCCTCAAGAATAGCAGATTGAACTGGAACCAGCAAATGACACGAGCAAGGCCAAAAAGGAAACGAGAAGATGCCGGAATCGCGCTGACCGGGCGAAAGAGGCGGCTCACGCTTTGCTTACGCTTTGCTTGAACTTTGTTCACGCTTTGCTCACACTTTGCTCATGCTTTGCTTACACTCTGTTTGTGCTTTGCTTATACTTTGCTTACGCTTTCCTTACACTTTGCTTGAACTTTGGTCACGCTTTGCTTACACTTTGCATACGGTTTGCTTACGCTTTACGCTTTCATTACACTTTGCTCACGCCTTGCTTACGCTTTGCCCACGCTTTGCTTACGCTTTGCTTGAACTTTGTTCACGCTTTGCGGACACTTTACTCATGCTTGCTTACACTTTTTGCATACGGTTTGCTTACGCTTTACGCTTTCCTTACGCTTTGCTTACACTTTGCTTACGCTTTGCTCACGCTTTGCTTACACTTTGCCTTCGCTTTGCTTACACTTTTCTTACGCTTTGGTCACGCTTTGCTTACACTTTGTGCTTACGCTTTGCTTGCGCTTTGCTTACACTTGACTTGCTTACACTTGACTTGCACTTTGCTTACGCTTTCCTTGCGCTTTGCTTACACTTTGCTTACACTTTGCTGACGCTTTGCTCACGCTTTGCTTGCGCTTTGCTTGTGCTTTGCTTGCGCTTTGCTTACGCTTTGCTCATTCTTTGCTTGCGCTTTGGTTATGCTTTGCTCACACTTTTCTTACGCTTTGCTTATGCTTTGCTTGCGCTCAGCTCACGCTTTGCTTACACTTTGCTCACGCTGTTTTGCTCACACTTTGCTTGCGCTTTGCCTACGCTTTGCTTGCGCTTTACTGACAGTTTGCTTTCGCTTTGCTTTTGCTTTGCTTACCCTTTGCTTGCGCTTTGCTTACGCTTTGCTTGAGCTTTGCTGTGGCTTTCCTCACACTTGGCTTGTGCTTGGCTTACACTTTGCTTGCGTTTTGCTTACGCTTTGCTTACGCTTTGCCTACACTTTGCTTGCGCTTACGCTTTGCTTACTAATTGCTTGAGCTTTGCGTGCACTTTGCTTGTGCTTTGCTTAACTTTGCTTACGCGTTGCTTACACATTGCTTACGCTTTGCTTGCGCTTTGCTTGCGCTTTGCTTACACTTTGCTTGCGCTTTGCTTGAGCTTGGCTTACTCTTTACTTACACTTTGCTTGCTCTTTGCTCACACTTTGCTTTCGCTTAGCTTTTACTTTGCTTGTGGTTGGCTTACGCTTTGCTTGCGTTGTGCTGGCGCTTTGCTGTGGCTTTGCTCCCACTTGGCTTGTGCTTGGCTTACACTTTGCTTGCGTTTTGCTTACGCTTTGCTTGCGCTTTGCTTGCGTTTTGCTTACGCTTTGCTTGCGCTTGCTGCTTTGCTTACGATTTGCTTGAGCTTGGCTTACACTTTGCTTGCGCTTTGTGTACACTTTGCTGTTGCTTTAGTTGCACTTTGCGCTTTGCTTAACTTTGCTTACGCGTTGCTTGCACTTTGCTTACGCTTTGCTTGCGCTTTGCTTACACTTTGCTTGCGCTTCGCGTGAGCTTGGCTTACACTTTGCTTACACTTTGATTGCTCTTTGCTCACACTTTGCTTTCGCTTAGCTTACACTTTGCTTGCGCTTGGCTTACGCTTTGCTTGCGTTGTGCTGGCGCTTTGCTGTGGCTTTGCTCCCACTTGGCTTGTGCTTGGCTCACACTTTGCTTGCGTTTTGCTTACGCTTTGCTTACGCCTTGCCTACACTTTGCTTGCGCTTACGCTTTGCTTACGATTTGCTTGAGCTTGGCTTACACTTTGCTTGCGCTTTGTGTACACTTTGCTGTTGCTTTAGTTGCACTTTGCGCTTTGCTTAACTTTGCTTACGCGTTGCTTGCACTTTGCTTACACTTTGCTTACGCTTTGCTTGTGCTTTGCTTGTGCTTTGCTTACATTTGCTTGCGCTTTGCTTGCAGTTTGCGTGCGATTTGAGATCGAGCGAATGAAGCTTCAAGGTTGGGGGTTACGGGTTCAGCGCTCAGGGTTCACATGTTGAGCTAGCAAACGCTGGGCTGAAGGGATTAGGAACTGACTTGACGAGCTGGGTAGAGCTTTGTCCTCGCAGCCCAGCAGGCCGGTCGCAAGCAAGTAAGTTTCAACAAGTACAGTCGTAGCAGTTGTTGCTGAATGTCTAATGTACGCCGAGACTGCGACTGGAGACCCAGCCTGGTCGCGGATCCTCACCAGCTCTTGTATGACGGATAGCCTCCACCGACTTTGGATAGCTTATGGTGAGGCTTCGACCCGCGTTGTCACTAAAAAGCACAGTTGCAGAATGGAGAGGCTCGTCACATGAGTATCTCCCACTCCTTCGAACAGTAGGTTTCAAGGCCCTGAATCCGGAATCACGCTTCCTCGTCCTCGATGCAGGTAGGACAGTGATGTCAGTGCTGTACCTGGTCTGCGATCTCGCAGCTTGGCGCAACCGACTGATCCGACTGACCCAGGGCTTCCTGCGACTAGGGCTTGCCTTTAGACAGACGTGTGGAACACGAGAGTTCCTAAATTGCGGGAAGAACCACGTGGGCCGAAGTACACGATTTTCTGTGATGCGCTTCAGTTGCAGGACAATACGGTCTTCACCTTCACTGCAACTATGCGGACAACATGGGAGTTCTCTAGACTGTCGTCGTTTCATCAAGAGAACGGGAAGGAGCAGCTCGTATGTTGCAGAGGCGGTAAGATCCAAGAACCAAGTGTGGTTGTACATACTTGCACGCGGGTTTTCATGCGCAAGTATAGTTACAAATTCACGCAAGTATAGTCACAAATCCACGTAGGGACTATACACAGTGTATACGGTATACATGTAAGGAAGCGAGTACATGGATAGGTAAATGATCAAACAGAACGAGCACATGAGGCAATGAAAAAACAACCAACAAACAGTTACTACACATAAATATATATATATATATGTATATATAGTGATTTTGTTATAGTTATCTATCGCTGTCACTATCACTATCAATATCTCTAGCTCTAGCTCTATCTCTTGCTCTAGCTCTATCTCTGTCTCTATCTTTACCGCAATCGCTATGGCTATCTTTATCCCTGTCCCTATTTTTATCTCTATTTCTGTCTCTATCTCTGTCTCTACCTCTGTCTCGATCTCTATATACACAGAGATGCATGTGTGCATGTATGTATATATAAGTGTATGTTTTTATACATAGAAAAGATATGTACATACACATGCACACGTACATGTGTGTGTACATATATGTATATATATATATATATACATATACGTACACACACACACACACCTACGCGCCTTCATGCGCTTAGTCATAAAAACTAAGCGAGCAGGCACATACCAGGTCTGCCTCCCTTTTTCTCAGGTCCACCCATCCACTAGCTATCTGTCCGTCTGCTTCTCTCTATTTATCTGTCTGTTTCTGTTTCTACCTAGCTATCTATCTGTTTGTTTATCGGCCTGTCTATTTCTCTATCCATCTACGACTATCCATCTACCAGTCTAGCTTGTCCATCTGCCGGTACATTTATTTGTTCATCTGTTCAAGTCTTTTATCTATCTGTCTTTAAATCTATGTGCTAATCTTTCTTGTTATCTGACTATCTATCCATCTGTCCATTTGTCCATATGTCTATCTTATCTGCCTGTCTGTCTGTCTGTCTGTCTGTCTGTCTGTCTGTCTGTCTGTCTGTCTGTCTGTCTGTCTGACGGCCCGTCTGTCCTGCTGTCTGTCTGTCTATCTGTTTATCTGCCGATCTACCCATCCATTTGCGCATGTCTGCATGGCTGCATGGCTGCATGCAACACACAAGCAAACACGCACACACACACACAGACGCACAGACACGCAGACACATAGACATACATACATACATACATACATACATACATACTTACTTACTTACTTACTTACATACTTACATGCTTACATACATGCAGTTACATACATGCAGACAGACAGACAGACAGACAGGCATACATATGCATGCATGCATGCATGCATGCATGCATGCATGCGCCCATCCATCCATCCGTCTGTCCGTCCATGGGGGCATGCGTGCATGCATCCATCCCTGCCTGCCTGCCTGCCTGCCTACCTGCATACCTACCTACCTACCTACCTACCTACCTACCTACCTACCTACCTACCTACCTACCCCTACCTACCTACCTACCTGCCTGCCTACCTACCTACCTACCTACCTATCTACCTACCTACCTGCCCCACCTACCTACCTACCTACCTACCTACCTACCTGCCTACCTACCTACCTACCTACCT